CTCCAGGGCAAGGAGGGGGCATGCTCCAGGGCAAGGAGAGGATGTGCTCCAGGGCAAGGAGGGGGCATGCTCCAGGGCAAGGAGAGGATGTGCTCTAGGGTAAGGAGGGAGGTGCTCCAGGTTGAGGAGGGGGTGCTCTAGGGCAAGGAGGGGGTGCTCCAGGGTAAGGAAGGAGGTGCTCCAGGTCAAAGAGGGAGTACTCCAGGGCAAGGAGGGGATGTCCTCTAGGGTAAGGAGGGGGGTGCTCCAAGTCAAGGAGGGAGTACTCTTGGGTAAAGAGGGGACTGCTCTAGAGTAAGGAGGGGGGTGCTTCAGGATAAGGAAGGGGGTACTCTAGTATCAGTTTTAGTAGATCAGTGGAATAAAAGCCAGATATCCAAGGGCTGAGTATTTTGAGGTAAGGAGTGCGAGCCGAGGAGCAGAGGAGGAAATGTAGCCTCTGGCTAGAAGAAGGCACTGTGGTCAGGAAGAATGTTGGAGTTCACTTTGTGGAACGTTTGTTTTATTTGGGGTGGCCTTTGCTTGTTGGTTGACCTGAAGTTGCAGAGCTGAGTGTGCTGGTGGGTGTGGGCCGGGCCCTGCAGGGTCCGCTGGGAGACCCCGAGGCCTCATCTGCCTCTAGTGAGTGGGGGAGTTGCTGCACCTCGACATCTGCTAGATTGATGGGCTGACGAGGTGCCTCACAGGATCGTAGGTTCTGTGATGCTGCTTGGTGTGGGATTCGGTATATGGCTGAATTTCCCCCATGCAGAGGAGGAACAGAAATGAGAGCTTCTAATAAATGTTTGGCGACTTACATATTTTACGTGTTTCTGTAAGTGTTGGTTGGGGCTAGCCCTGCTTTGGGTCCTGGCTGCCATGGGAGCTGGGTCCCTGGCGAGGCAGGTAGCTGTAGATCACAGAGAAGATGGGAAAGTGACCTCGGTCTGGTGCGGGCCACCACCTTTGGATTTTGCCTGCTGTGTGTGGTGACGTTTCCCTGCTGAGGCTGCGTGTTGGTGTCTCGTTTTCTCTGGTTTTATGTTCCTTTGGGTGACTGGGAGCAATGACCCTCGTGTCTGGGTGTGCTTGGTGGCCGCGGCGTGACTGTTGGAACGTCTGTACCCTCGGAGGGCGCTCCTGCCACGTAACGGAGACAGAGAACAGGCCTTTTCCTGGATGCACAGGCGAGGCCAACTTTCTTCTCCTGCCCCTTGTCTCACTCTGCAGATTTGCTTTGACTAAAGGATTAACCTCCAGGACCTTCTAGGCCTTGACTAGGGTGTGAGGTCGCCCAGGTACTGATCCTTTCCCTGAGCCACCGAGGTCCTGGTGGAGGGCAGGGAGTGCAGAGAGCACAGGCTGCGCTCCTAAAGAAGAGGGAAAGAGGTGGGACTGGCGGCCGTAGGCTGTTGATGCCAGAACCCTGGCCCCACCTCCCCTGTCCTCTCAGAGGTCCTGGAGTGAAGTGACCCAGTAGAGCTGGGAGGGTTCGATGATGCTATGTATGTGTCTTTGGGGGCATTCTCCCCTTTTCTGCCCTCTTCTCACCTGGTGAGGTTGCTAGCCTTGAGAATTTATTTGCCCTTGACCTTCTCACGGTCCATGAACAGGTGAAGGACAGGCCCTTTGGTGCCGAGGCAGCACTGGGCCCAGCCTCACCCTGGCTGGTGCCTGCTGGTCCGTGGAACCTAGACCTCCGGCCTGTGCATCTTTGGTGCTTTTCTCCCTAAACCAGCCTGGCCAGCCCCTGTTTGCATGGGGACCGTGGTAGTGGTTTTGCCTACTTCTGCTTTTTAGCCATAGGTACGACGCAAAGCCTTTGTAAATAATGAACTCCAATCATTGCCGTTTCTGCCTGCAGCCTGGAATTGTGTCGCCATTTAAACGAGTATTCCTAAAAGGTGAAAAGAGTAGAGATAAGAAAGCCCATGAGAAGGTGACAGAGAGGCGCCCTCTGCACACTGTGGTGCTGTCCCTGCCTGAGCGCGTCGAGCCCGACAGACTGCTGAGCGACTATATCGAGAAGGAGGTGAAGGTAAGTCCACAGCCGCAGGATGCGCCTGCCCATCGCCAGCAAAGGCCGCTCTGATCCACCAAATGCTGCGGCTCAAGAAACTCGTCCCCACGCACACCTGTGGTCGTGCCTGTGGTGTTGTGTCTGATGACTGGGTACCCAACCCCAGACTTCTGTCTTCTGGCCCCATTTCTGGTTCTTTCTGCAGTAGCAAGCTACCTCCTTTTTCTTGAAGGCTGGCCATGTGTTTTGGTTCTTTGGTCAAGGCTTAAAGCTGTTCCATGTGTCATTGTCACAGCTCAGGATGTGGGTCTCCTGAATCCTGTCAGAGCCTGTGCCCAAACCCTTGTGGATAAACATGACGTGCACCAGTGTATTTTTGGTCCCTCCCCCAAACACACTACAGTGGGAATAAATGAATGAAAAAGTATAAAGCTACGAGGTCAGAGAGAATGGGAAAGGAGACAACAGTGATGAGTGAGGCCCATAAGCTTAGAGAGGGAACCCATGAAGGTGGGACAGTGGAATTAGCAGAGCCAACGGAATTGGGCCTGAGTCCCTTCAGAGGACACAGAGCTGTCAGCTGAACCTTGGGGATTGGAGAGGGGTGTGGGGCAGTTTGTGACCTTGGGAGTCAGATGAGAGGGGAGGTGGGAGGTCTCCCCTCCCAAAGTTAGGGAAACTTTGGGTGTGGGGACACCTGGCATGGAGGAGATTGGGGGAGACCCAGAGTGAAGACAGGAAATTAAATCAAAGCCTCTGTACAGAAAGGTGAGAATCTCCCTTTCTCTGCCAGGCTTTCAGAATGCCTGCAACCAGGCCTCTCCCACAAGAGCATCTGTGGAGGGGGCTTCTATTGGGAAGCTGGGCAGCCCGCAGAAGTGCTGCCTGGTTACTGACCCTGGGGCTACCACCAGCTAGCCTGGGAACAGCCAACGGTTGGCAGCTTCGCCTGTGCACACGGCTTCTGTCATGGGCAGCCAAGGAGAAGTGTACTTTTGAGGAAAATGTTTAACCCAAAGATAGAGTCAGAGACATAAACCTGAATGAAACAGCAACAATGCAGAAAATAGAGGGAACAATATAATATTGTCAGGAAGATAAGAGGAAATATTGTTAACTATGAAATAACAGGATCAACTTTTAAATAAAGAAAAGGTAGCCACAAGAGCTTTTGGAATTAAAAGTATCTTAATTGTGTATCTTAAAAATTCATTAGAGGAGTTGAAAGATAAAATCAAGAAAATCACCCAGAAAGAATAACCAAAAGACACAGAGAGAGAAAATTAGTAAACAAAAGATGAGAAAGAGACAAAAAGGAAATTACAGGATCAATCCAGGAGGTTCTACATCTGACTCACGAGAAGAAAGGATGGAGAAAAGAGTGGGAGGAAGTTATTAAGACAGTGACGCAAGAACGTTTTGCAGAATTCACCAATGGATACGACTCTTAGACTGAAAGGATCCTGTCATAATGACTAGAAAGTCGGGTCTCTAAAATGTGAGCCCGCAGAGCCCATTCTGAGGACGTGACTGGAGGATGTGCTGCGTCTTTGCACAGGGACACACCACGGAGGTGGAAGATGTGGATCCAGAACTAGGGCTCAGCAGAGCGGAGGGAATTCCAAAGCCAAGGTCCAGGACGAGAATGTGAGGAATAGGCCTGAGCAGCTCTGGGAGAGGGGACACAGATGGTTTTATATGTTTAGGTAGAGGCTGCTGAAGAATGGGGAAGAATTAGAACAGTGTATAGAGAAGAAAGCAAGTGGAGGGAGGGCGGGTCCATATTAAACCATGAACATGAAAGGTTGGGGACTTCTGCTTCCAGGAAGGGGGAATAAATGTACTTTCCCTATTCCTCCCATTAAGTACAGCTAAAGATCCTGGATGTTATATATGCACAACCATAAGAAGACTGAAAGGTAGAGAGAAGGCAGACCAGCCGGGACTTTGGGACCCACGGAGTGAGCTGGTGCTGAGTTCCCGGAGTTCTCTTTTCCTCATGTGTCCCAGACTTGGAGCTGAAGAAGCCACAGCCCAGCAATGCCAGCAGGTGCAGACAGAACCCCGATGAAAGCTGCTCCCTCTGGCCAAAGGGACAGGAAAGGGACAGCCTAGCAGAACAGAACATGTTTAACAATACCTGCTCAGCTCCAACTAAACGTGACAGAAAAACCGTGGCCCCACATCTACCCTTGCCAGGAAAGGCCAAGTAGGGGCCTGGGCCCACCCAGAGAAGGCCGAGTAAGGAGCAGGGACTTTCACCCCAGTGAACCCTGGGTGGAACTGGGGTGTCATTGGGGGCCACAAGAGAAGCCTGGACTTATGCCCTCAGACAGCAGTGATGAGGCACACACTCTCTTGTGTCACTGGGGCCTGTGTGGGGAGCCGGAATGGCCACCATGCCCCCTACTCAGGTGGCAGCCGAGGCCGGTGGGGAATTGGATCCTCTGTCTCCACCTGGCAGCAGTGGGGTGTTGTGCTCCCTTCCCACTGTGGGACTAGAGTGTCGTTGGAGTCCTGGAGAGAGGGGCTGAAAAACTGTTCAAAGGAATCATGATGGAAACCTCTCTGATTTGGCAAAAGAAAAACTTAGAGATTGAAGAAGCTGAGCACACCACAAACAGGACAGACCCGAAGCAGCCCACACCAAGACACATAGTGAGACTGCTGAAAAGAAAGACAGAAAAGTCTTTGAGAAAGAACACTTTACCCGTAGGGGAAAACGGTCAGAATGACAGCCGATTTCTCGCCAGGAACGACGGGACCAGAAGAAGTGATGTGACATTCTTCAAGTGCTAAGAGCTCCTTAAGAGTTAAGGGATAGTGAGAGAATTCACAAGTGCCTCTGCATGCTCAAAGGACCAACAAATGGTCCAATTCCTGGAAAGGCATGAACTCCCACAAGTCACCAATATGAAATAGATAATTTGACTAGCCCTATAGCTATTAAAGAAATCCAGTATCTAATTTGAAAATTCCCGTAAGAAAGTCTCCAGGCCCAGATGGTTTCTGGAGAATTCTATCAAATGTCTAAAGAATTAACACCAGTTCTATACAATCTCTTCCAGAAAAATAGAAGCGGTGGGAACACTTTCTAACTCATTTTGTAAGGGTAGTATTACCCTGGTGTCAAAACCAGACCAAGACAGTACAAGACGAAAGTAAATTACAGGCGTGAATATAGACACTTAGGTATAAATCTAACAAAACGTGGATGGGATTTGTGTGCTGAAAACTACACAGTACTGACGAAAGAAATCAAAGATCTGAGTAAGTGGAGAGACATGCCATGTTCGTGGATTAGAAGAGTCAACTAGTTAATATGTCAGTTCTCCCCAAATTGATATACAGGCTTCACACAATTCCTATCAAAATTCCAGCAATATTTTTTGGTAGATATAGACAAGATTACTCTAAAATTTATGTGGAAAGGCAAAAGAAGTAGAATAGATGAAATAATTTTGAAAAAGAAGAATAAATGAGAAGACAATTACCTGATTTCAAGATATGTTTTATGGCTACAGCCATGAAGACTGTGAGGTATCAGCAGAGATTGACACAGAGATCAGTGAAACAGAATCATGAACCCAGAAACAGACCCACACAAACATACCCAACTGATTTTTTTTTT